ATTGACAATGACGCTGACAATGAGGAACCACAGCTCCCTGCTGAGTCACCCGCGTCACGAAACAACGTCTCGAATTGAATCCCTAATGCAATCATTTGATTGCTATTTTGAGTAGTCGTCGTAGTGTTAGGTGGAAATTTGTGTTAATGTCCTTTCATTATTACGGTTGATAAGCATTAAGCAAAACTCGTGCTGTGATGGTTGTTATCCGAAGAAACCACTAACGTTAATGTTAGATATTAGCTGTGTTTGTGCCGAGCCGCTGCTTTTCAATGTCTTCGGTTGTCATGTAAACAAATTCCTCTGTAACCATCCGTGTCCAAGTCAAGCAGAAGTAAGATTTCTTGCTGAGTGGACGTGAAACAACAAGGTAAATATGTTGCCATTATCAGTATCTGATCTCTCCCTTCTATATTTGTATTTAATGTGAACTTCAGTTGTTAAGGTTAATTATGAGCGCAGACCGGGCTATTAGTATTTTTCTATTTATTGTAAAGAGCCTAATGAGTCTGATATTGTTTTGGCCTGATGACGTGCAGATTACATCGCCAGAATGCTTTGGTTTAAAGTTTGGGGATTGGTTTGAAATAGCTGTTGTCATCATTCATAACATTTCCGATGGAAATCTGAAATTTGGGTCTGTCATTAATGATTGTTTCAAATCACTGAACAAATTTGAGGTTCCAAGATTGGGCGGTATGAATCGGACCATTCCAAAGGATTTCTTAATTCAAGAAGTTTTACCACCGATTTCCAGTTTACAATACGGTAGATCAAACTGAGATTAAAATTGCAATACTAGTTATTAAACGATGTGGGAGGTGGATGTGTACTGGTTATAGGCGTATTTAGAATGTAGTTCCTAATCAGGCCCTGATTTCTCGAAACAAACTTAAGTTTTTACTCAAATTTCAAACTGAGTTTGACAATTTGAAACAGCTGAATTTTTAACTCAGCTGCATTTTTAAAAGAAAAATGCTTAAACAACTTAAGTAATCTATCCATCAAACTCAAATTGTCTACTATGTTTGTGTGTAATATTGATTTCAGTTCATTCTGGGAAATGCATTTTCCTGCGCTTTGTCAAATTTGAGTAAAAAACTCTAACTGAAGTCAAAACTCAGGCTTACGTTTGTTTCGAGAAATCGGGGCCTGATATGCTACAAAACGTTCGGCAGGGCTTATTAATTGTCTCCTGTTTGTTTCTAACTGCTGTGGCAAGAAGAGTTTTGAAAATGCTCTTTTAAATTTTTGTTTTCTAGTAGGGATGCACTAGGCTATATCATGCAATGTGTTGCTTACGTCTGTGCCAAACGCGCCATAATTTATGATTTGTATGTTTTACCTGATACCTGGAGTTGGGTCTGAGGGCTTCTGAAGTATATATGGGAGATTACATGTACAGTGAAACCTCTCTAAACAGGCACCCCGCGGGACTGAAATAAAATGCCGGTAATTGTTTTGGCAGAGGTGACTGTCGTAAGGTAAGGGGGCGGGGGCGGGGGGCGTTTTTGGCATCCCACCTTCGTCTGTGTTATTAATACATTTCAATAAAATATATGTTCACTGATTTTGAATTTGGGAATTTAGTCGGCGTCCGCGTTGCTGCAGAGTGAGTTATGTGATGTCATGACTCCTTTGAAAATGATGTGAGATTTTGACGGGATTGAAAAAATTGAGATAAGAATAGTTCGGTTTTATTGTGGTAGATGGTTGTAATGTATACTTTACTGCTGTAGCTAATTGTTTTGATTTCCAGGACTCCTTATTAAGGAGTTTTATGACTATATAGGGAGTTTGGGATGAGTGAGGGAGTGAGTTTATTTTTACGCCGCACTCAGCAATATTTCAGCTATATGGTGGCGGTCTGTCAATAATTAATTGGGTCTAGACCAGACAATCCAGTGAGCAACAGCAGGAGCATCGATCTACGCAAGTGGGAGCCGATGACATGTGTCAACCAAGTCAACGAGCCTGACCACCCGATCCCATTAGTCGCCTCTTACGACAAGTATGGGTTACTGAAGATCAGTTCTAACCCGGATCATCACGGGTCGAGTCCCCATATTGCCATGCAGGAGTCCCCGGGTCTTGCCCCCAAATTCAGGTGCTTAGAATTTTGAAAGCACGTTAGGGTTATATTCGTATTTCTTACAGAGCTGTTTCAGAGGTGGAAATGAGTCTCGCGTAATTAGGAGACTGTTGCAAATGCTCTGTGAAATGAAATGTATTAATAAGATTGGATCAAATTGTTTATTAGAAATCTCATGGGTTTTTATTAGAGGAGCTTTTGAGGGGCAAAAGGGTGAAGGGGGAGTATGGATTTCAACATTGGTGTGGAGTTAGGTTGCAGTTATTTGCAGGATATTGAATTGGCATGAATTCCACAAGTTTGAGATTGTTACTGCGGTTATTGTCTGAGTGTTGTAGTAGCTTATGGACTCTTTTCACAGGGTTGAGGAATTTCTCTGGTGTCTTGGTAGGGTTGGAGGTGTAAAAGGCAGCTGTTGCATTTGGATCTTCATCTATAGCAATTAAGGTATCGCTGGACCTTTGGTTAGGTCTGCTAGTGTAATGTGCTTGTTATTTTACGTGTGTGATGCACGTTAACGGTAGATGGGATAGGTTTTGCACAAATTTTGCACGAGGTCAAATCGGAGCATTGCGTGTTTTTCCACAATAAATTGATATTTAATGAGTGTGAGACCGTACAGCATTTTGTATGTATTCTGATATTTCCACGGTTGTGTCTTTGTTGTTAATATATATAAACGCCCTGTACCTCACTGAACAAAGATTAAGGTGTTTTACACGTCTACAAAAACTGATTGTAAAATTTGAAACAACACCTGAAGCTACGAAAGCTCTCAGATGCATGATTCGTACGCAAAATACAACGTGACTTTCGAAAATGGTATTTGTGAATACATTCTACACTATCTGGAATGTAACTGCAGCGACACAACACAGTATGTTTATTAAATCAAGATCATTTATTCTACTGGAGAAAGATAGTGGTAAATTCACCAAAAATGGACATAACAAAAGGTATTCACATTTGATAAAACAATGTCTTCATCTTGCCAACTCTGTAATGTTTTGTGGAACAATAGTATTTCTTGAAATGGAATCCGCTGAAATTGACATTTGAAACAATAACTGGGTCATCAGTAGTGCGTGTATCCGCCATGAGCCTGAATCACCTCCTGACAGCATCTCCTCATTGATAGCAGTTTACGAAAAAAGGCATGGGCAGATTGTTCCATTCGTATAGCACTGCCTGTCTGAGTTCTCGAATGTTGGCCATGGCCTGGTTCCTGGCGGAAATACGCCTACCAATCGCGTCCCACACGTGTTCGATCGGATCTCGACTTACACTTATACAATCGAGGGATTCAAAGTTATGCTGCCTTTTAAGGTCGGTAATGATCCTAGCACACTGAGGGCGTGCATTGTCGTCCTGGTAGATGTGCGCAATATGAGGATTGGCATGCAGAAAAGATAGCAGAGTGATTATGTCACGGCCGCCATACTTCTCTGCATTCAGTGTGCCCTTGATGTCCACTTTCTGATCATGTGAGAAAGCTGCCCATACCATGACCGATCCACCGCCACCAGCTACCGTTTTCAGAATGTTTTGAGGATTGACTGCAGTGTTGGCAAAACGTCGGACACGTAAACGGCCGTCAGCAACATACAGGTTGTACCTGGACTTATTGGACCAAACAATACGACGCCACGTGCGCAAATTCCAATTTTGACGTGCCTGTGCCGAAGCCAGACGAAGACGCATGTGATGATCGGTCAGTCTGGGCCTATTCAATGGACGACGAGCTCGTAGACAGCAGCTAAGAGACGTTTGATGTCTAGCTCCCGTAACACATTCACTCCCGTCGTTTGCTGCCACCATCGACGGAGTTGATTTGAAGACCAGAACGGTTCCTGATTCGTAGCAGCCGTCTATCATCCCTCAAATTGGTCTTTTTGGGGTCGACCTCTACCAGCGGCAACCTTGACTTCACCTGTCCTGCGGTGTTTTTTCAGCAACTTGCTGATGACGCTGTGACAGACGTTAACACGTCTTGCAATCTGTCGCAAGGATATGCCACCTTCTCTCATGCCTACAATTTGCCATTTTGTGGCCTCAGATAACTGGTTGAGAGCCATATTACTGAATCACCAACTCACACAGTACTACTCTCGAAGCAACGTATTGCGAAATGTGTACATGCATGCATTTCACCTGCATGCACGAGCAAAACATGTAATGCACATGCGTATTGTTTTCAGAACTGGAGAGACGAACATGTAGGCCACGGAACACTGTTCTTCATTCAATGTATTCATTTGAATGGTTTCATTTACATCATGTTCAATCAGGTGTTGCCTCAAATTTTACCATGGGTATATAAACACATACTTGTGTGATACCATGTAATGTCCAAAGCCTTGACTAAGGCAGTTCCTTTTCGTGATGCTCAGGTTAGTTTAGAAACTGATACAAGGAAGTCCACCCGTGAAGGTCCGGGTTAGAATATTGATCTTCAGCAACCCAGACTTGTCGTAAGAGGCGACTAACGGGATCGGGTGGTCAGGCTCGGTGACATGGTTGACAGAACTCTAAAAACTGTTCATTATGTGTCATCGTATCCTAATTGCGAAGAGCGATGCTCACGCTGATGATAACGGGATTGTCTGGTCCAGACTCGACTATTTACAGACCGTTGTATCGGTGGTACATTGCGCATTTATTAATGTAGGCAACCTTGAATAGGTTCCAATTCAGAACACCAACTGTGCTTCTGTAATTCAATTTCAACCGATTTAGAAGATTGTATTGTTGCATTTGGTCACTAAGCGACCAGTATAACCTTATCTCGGTGATAACACAAGGAATGACAGAACTGTAAACCATGTTTATTTTCTTCTTTCCAGATTTTATCACATTTCGTTCTCAACACATCACGGTATAACTCACAGTGCAAAGAGCAGGTTATGCAATGGGAGGAGCATTAAATTTCAGTTCAGTCGGTGTTACCAATTTAACAAGGGATATCCTTAAAGCTACGAATGATGACGTATTCAGCAACACGACAGCTGCTAACATTCACAACGCAACCAGTGGGGAAATCTTCGGTAACGAAACAATCATCTCCAATGAGAGCAAATTACGTAGTTTGCTGGCACCGTTCTTTTCTGTCGTCTTCCCAGGAATGTGTGCTCAAGTGGTTGCATTCTACTGTCTGAGTAAGGACAGGGGTAAAAAAATGAATATGATTAATCGCCTGTTCCTTGTCCTCTGCATAATCGATGCTCTCGGTCTTTGCGCCATCTCTACTCATCACGTTATATTCAACTTTGTCAACAACCCATCCACTCTGACCTGTGCCTTCATCAACTTTTTTATGTGCGTCCTCCCGCTCTCCTCCGGCGCAGTTACAACACTGATGAGCGTGGAGCGATGCCTCAAGTTCCGAGCACCATACTGGTACAGTGTGAACATCTGGAGCAAGAAGGTCAAGGTACCTATCATCATGACAACTGGTGTTTTCGTAATTGTTGGTCTTTTTCCGATATGCGGCCTCGGATACATTGTCTCTGAGCAGGAACCAAGAAAATGCATTGCCTTCCCTACTACTGGACAAATGTACAACAGTCCTAAAGGTGTCTATACTCTGGCATATGCCGTAGTTGGCATGATAACCGTGGCCGTTGACGTCGCCTGCAACATTGCTGTTATCGTTACACTTATCGGTATGTCCGACGACAAAGAGCACGTACACAAGGCCGACGTATCCAGAAGAGAGAAGTCTCCAGAGGTGGAGATGGCGAAGATGCTATTGTGGCTGTCGCTGGGGTTTATGATCACCCTGTCTCCGCTATATGTAAGTAACATCCCATCTGTGAGTGAGTGAGTGAGTGAGTGAGTGAGTGAGTGAGGTTTTACGCCGCTTTTAGCTTTTACGCTGCTTTTAGCTTTTATTACTTGAGTGAGTGAGGTGTTACGCCGCTTTTAGCTTTTACGCCGCTTTTAGCTTTAATTACGTGAGTGGGTGAGTGAGTGAGGTTTTACGCCGCTTTTAGCCCCTTTTAGCTTTTACGCCGCTTTTAGCTTTTATTACTTGAGTGAGTGAGTGAGTGAGGTTTTACACCACTTTTAGTTTTTTACGCTGCTTTTAGCATTTATTACTTGAGTGAGTAAGTGAGCGAGTGAGTGAGGGTTTACGCCGCTTTTAGCAATATTCAAGCACTATCATGGCGGGTACACCAGACATGGAGTTCACATATTATACCAATGTGTGGGGATCGTACCCGGGTATTCGGCGTAACGAGGGGACGCTGTTATCATTAGGCCATCCCACCGCCCCAGCTGATATTTAAGGGGCATATAAATGTTATGGTTAGATTGGCAGAACAGGATATTAAACATTGTTATTCTGTGATCTGCCATGGGTGTTGTCACAACCACGTGACATACAGCTGTTAGATGGTTGCTTTACGTTCTGACAAGTTTTCATTCTCATTACGCTCATGTTATGGGAATATCCTTTCACACATGTTCGTCGCTATATGGCGGAATATTGTTAATTTGATGTCACAACCACTTTGTCTTTTTGAAGGGTAAAGTTCGTTTCCGGAGCAAGATTCTGAAACTATTTGACCCATCTTCACCAAATGTGCTATACTGCCCCTCCATATCATGTAGATGTGCCTTTAGGGGGTTTGAGTATTTTAAAGTTCGTTTCCGGAGCAAGATTCTGAAACTAATTGACCCATCTTCACCAAATTTGCTACACTGCCCCTCAATGTCATGTAGATTGCCTTTTAGGGGTTTAAGTTTTTTAATTTCATTTTTGTCTGTTTTCAAATTTGGACTTGGTCTTTTTGAAGGCAGAGATTTTACATTGAAGGAATCAAATGAATTGTTTGAGGTCTCAACTTTAAATTGGGGGAATGGGGAGACATCTGTTTTTACGAGTAAAAACATTTTTAAGTTCTTAATTTGTCACTATTTATCAAATACAGTATGAGACTAAGAAATGAACTGTTAAACAATTAAAACGCTTAAACGAAATTTTACAATTGCATGTCATGTTGTTCTCTCTATTATGTGTATATCATACTATTTATATATTGTATATTATTTACAAATATATATTTGTATGTGGGCCGGTGGCCCTGAATACAAAAACCTCCTTTGACTTGACTACAGATATAATATGTAACTTTGTTTTCTCGATGTATGACATTGGTCCAGTTGCCATAAGCAGTTAGTTTTCAATTAAACATATGTTAAATGACATATTATGACATGTAAGATTTGCTGTACACCAAAAAAGTGGAATACAAAAAAAATAATATGTAAAGTAAAGTAGACATTTGAAAATTGGATCTAGCAAACAAATGACAAACGTTATCAAAATTCTGCAAGGCTTAAACAATCGTCGAAAAAGAGTGAGAAAGTGAAATTAGTTTCAGTATTCCATCAACATCCCCATAAATATTTACCCATGTGGGGGTTTTGAACCCGTGTCTTCGGCGGTACAAACTAACACTTTAACCACCGGGCTACTCCACGCTCCCATAAAAAAAAAAGAACAAACCTCAGGTATGAGGATTGTCATAGTGTTTGTATTTAAAACATCACCATCAAAAATGTTTATTTCCATTTTAACCACTTTGAAACCTGGATGAAAAGTTTCTTTTGCCCGAAATTTAGATAAATTGCTATTCACAATTACGTTGCAGTCAGGAGTATTGCAGCCACACCACGGTCTGATTGGTGGAGTGTTCCAAACATCCAGTACCTTCACTATTGTAAATACGGAGGCAAACTTAAGACTTCATACGTCGTTGATGTTGTTATGTCTCTCTGACCTTTTTTACGTAAACATTACATTTTCGCGTTTATTCCTTAGAACAGATTATGTTGCTCTTCATGTCAGCTACACTGGAGGTCTGGTATTTAGCGAGTGAGTCATTACTCATTTTGTCTGAATTTGTTTTCCTCTCCTAGAATCGAAATTCGGATTAAGTGTTATATTTTCTGCTTCATGCCGAGTGGCGAGTTGTACCATTAAAATGTTCCCTTGGTGTTATTGACGAAGAAGCTGTACATAACAATGTGACGTCGTGCTAATCGACTGGCGCAAATGAAATATGTCTACGTTACTGGACCCGAGATTGGGAAGCTCTATTTTTTTCATTTTCTGAGAAAAGAACTGATGACAACACAGACACATATATAAATCAGAATAACAATCTTCGTGAATATTGCACTCTGAAGCTCATGTAGTGTTCACAAATAATCCACCTACATGTTGTGTGTAAATAATCTAGTCTGGACGAAAGAGGCGAACGGAATCGGGTGACTGATTGACACATGTCATCGCATCCCAATTGCGTAGATCGATGCTCATGCTGTTGATTGTCTGGTCCAGACTCGATTATTTACCGACCGCTGCCATTTAGCTTGAGCAGTGCAGAGTGCGGCGTAAAACCAAACTCACTCACTCACTAGTCTGGACCAGACATAGAACATTATCTTACCTTCATGTAAAATACTTTAATTTCATTGATCAATGACTCTTTTACAAGTTTCCGTGTCACCCAAATGATAGATATTGTACATTTAACATGACTCTAAGATAAATACTTGTAAGCTTCTCCCTCGGTTAATACGGTCTGATGTACGCCTTTCTGCAGCAGTGCTATTACAAAAAGGCGTACATCAGACCGTATTACCCTCGAGAGAAGCATACAGCTTATAGTATAGATAATGTGCATCGATCTGCACAATCGGGATACGATTACATGCATCAACCGAGTCAGCGAGCCTGACCACCCGATCCCTTAGTTGTCTTTTGCGCCATCATGATTTGCCAAAGACCAATTCTAACACGGGTCTTAACGGGTCAACACACCAGAAAGTAGTTCGTGATGATCTGAACATTCCAGAATCAGTTTGTTTGAAGTTCAAGTTCGCCTTCCAACATTTCAGGTGTCTCTGTTCTTCATGTACGCTGGCTTCATCTTTCCACCGGGATTAAAGGCAGCCACCCATATCTTGGCGGGCCTCAGCTTCACCCTTGATCCTTTCATCTACATCTTCACACTGGGGACCTACAGAAGATCAGCGAAGAAGCTATTTTGTGGGTGTTGTTTATGCATTTTTGATAGGAAATCCTCGCACTCCTTGGAGTTTCAAGATCCAAGTTCCGTCACTGCAACATAAATTAAAATTTGGCCGTGCTTTGCTTTCGGACATACAGTCGAGCATCTTAAGAGCTTGAATAATGATAAATTATGATGGATTTTGCCGGGACCGAGATGTTATATCGAAACAACCGAGATATCGAGTTAACAGAGTTCGACAAAACGGTGTTCGACTGTATTTTGGTCACGCGTGCATGAACCCAAACTTTTTAAGTTCATGTTGAGAAATACCTTTGACACAAATATTCATCGTTTCAAAATACATTTGAACCGTAAATGCAATGTATGATAATTTTTCAAATTGAAAGGAATTGTATTCTGAGTTTGTTACATAACGAGATAAATTTTTCTTGCTTTGACCACGTGCTAAATAATACATAAACGGCGACTCCACATGTCCAGCGTTTGATACGAAAAAATGGGGCCAGTGGTTTTAATTAATGTGCTTTGACTTGAGACGGCAACAGATGTTTGGTAAGGTGATCGTATCCTGCTCTGCCGGATGCAGCAGTCACAAGACACGTTAAGTTTAAATGGTCACCTAAAGTAAAAAATACTGGTGAATAAAGGAATATATCTTATGGTTTAAAACGGGAAACTGCAGCAGGCATACTTTTGTCATAACCACATTACTACCATAACACATGTGGATATATTTATAATAACTGTATTGCCTAGTCCAGGATTAACTATTTACATATTGGTAAGGTATCTTGTATTGGTAACAATGCGGACAACAGTGATATAATTATGTTGATGTTGTAACATTGGGGACTGTTGGAAGATATGTTGCAGTTGTAATACTGGAGACCACAAAGATTCTTGTTCTAGATGTGACATTGCTGACTAAGATGTGTTGAAGTTGTAATATCGGGGACTGTTGGAAGATATGTTGTATATGTAATAATGGAGACTACAAAGATTATTGTTCTAGATGTGACATTGCTGACTAAGATGTGTTTAAGTTGTAATATCGGGGACGGTTGGAAGATATGATGTATCCGTAATACTTGAGACTACAAAGATGTATGCTCTAGATGTCACATGTTGAAGTTGTAATGACTAAAAGATGTGCTGAAATTGTAAAATTGGGGACAGTTTGAAGATATGTTCATTGCGGACTAAGATATAATGAAGTTGTAATACTAGGGACTACAAAGATTTATGCTCTAGATGTGACATTGCTGACTAAGATATGTTGAAGTTGTAATACTGGGGACTACAAAGATTTATGCTGTAGATGTTGACATTGCGGACTAAGATATGTTGAAGTTGTAATACTGGGGACTACAAAGACTTATGCTCTAGATGTAATTAACATTGCGGACTAAGATATGTTGAAGTTGTAATACTGGGGACTACAAAGACTTATGCTCTAGATGTGACATTGCTGACTAAGATATGTTGAAGTTGTAATACTGGGGACTACAAAGATTTATGCTGTAGATGTGACATTGCTGACTAAGATATGTTGAAGTTGTAATACTGGGGACTACAAAGATTTATGCTGTAGATGTAACATTGCTGACTAAGATATGTTGAAGTTGTAATATGTGGGGTTGTACAAACTACAAATTTATGCTGTAGATGTGACATTGCTGACTAAGATATGTTGAAGTTGTAATACTACAAAGATTTATGGACTACAAAGATTTATGCTGTAGATGTGACATTGCTGACTAAGATATGTTGAAGTTGTAATACTGGGGACTACAAAGATTTATGCTGTAGATGTGACATTGCTGACTAAGATATGTTGAAGTTGTAATACTGGGGACTACAAAGATTTATGCTGTAGATGTGACATTGCTGACTAAGATATGTTGAAGTTGTAATACTGGGGACTACAAAGATTTATGCTGTAGATGTGACATTGCTGACTAAGATATGTTGAAGTTGTAATACTGGGGACTACAAAGATTTATGCTGTAGATGTGACATTGCGGACTAAGATATGTTGAAGTTGTAATACTGGGGACTACAAAGATTTATGCTGTAGATGTGACATTGCTGACTAAGATATGTTGAAGTTGTAATACTGGGGACTACAAATATTTATGCTGTAGATGTGACATTGCTGACTAAGATATGTTGAAGTTGTAATACTGGGGACTACAAAGATTTATGCTGTAGATGTGACATTGCGGACTAAGATATGTTGAAGTTGTAATACTGGGGGACTACAAAGATTTGCTGCTGTAGATGTGACATTGCGAACTAAGATATGTTGAAGTTGTAATACTGGGGACTACAAAGATTTATGCTGTAGATGTGACATTGCTGACTAAGATATGTTGAAGTTGTAATACTGGGGACTACAAAGATTTATGCTGTAGATGTGACATTGCTGACTAAGATATGTTGAAGTTGTAATACTGGGGACTACAAAGATTTATGCTGTAGATGTGACATTGCTGACTAAGATATGTTGAAGTTGTAATACTGGGGACTACAAAGATTTATGCTGTAGATGATGTGACATTGCGGACTAAGATATGTTGAAGTTGTAATACTGGGGACTACAAAGACTTATGCTCTAGATGTAATTAACATTGCGGACTAAGATATGTTGAAGTTGTAATACTGGGGACTACAAAGACTTATGCTCTAGATGTAATTAACATTGCGGACTAAGATATGTTGAAGTTGTAATACTGGGGACTACAAAGACTTATGCTCTAGATGTAATTAACATTGCGGACTAAGATATGTTGAAGTTGTAATACTGGGGACTACAAAGATTTATGCTGTAGATGTGACATTGCGGACTAAGATATGTTGAAGTTGTAATACTGGGGACTACAAAGATTTATGCTGTAGATGTGACATTGCTGACTAAGATATGTTGAAGTTGTAATACTGGGGACTACAAAGATTTATGCTGTAGATGTGACATTACTGACTAAGATATGTTGAAGTTGTAATACTGGGGACTACAAAGACTTATGCTCTAGATGTAATTAACATTGCGGACTAAGATATGTTGAAGTTGTAATACTGGGGACTACAAAGACTTATGCTCTAGATGTAATTAACATTGCGGACTAAGATATGTTGAAGTTGTAATACTGGGGACTACAAGATTTATGCTGTAGATGTGACATTGCTGACTAAGATATGTTGAAGTTGTAATACTGGGGACTACAAAGATTTATGCTGTAGATGGGACATTGCTGACTAAGATATGTTGAAGTTGTAATACTGGGGACTACAAAGATTTATGCTGTAGATGTGACATTGCGGACTAAGATATGTTGAAGTTGTAATACTAGGGACTACAAAGATTTATGCTGATAGATTGCTGATATGTTGAAGTTGTATTGGGGACTACAAAGATTTATGCTGTGCGCTACTAAGATATGTTGAAGTTGTAATACTGGGGACTACAAAGATTTATGCTGTAGATGTGACATTTGCGGACTAAGATATGTTGAGATTTATGTTGCTTGTAGACTACAAAGAAGATGCTGTACATAATTAACATTGCTGACTAAGATATGTTGAAGTTGTAATACTGGGGACTACAAAGATTTATGCTGTAGATGTGACATTACTGACTAAGATATGTTGAAGTTGTAATACTGGGGACTACAAAGATTTATGCTGTAGATGTGACATTGCTGACTAAGATATGTTGAAGTTGTAATACTGGGGACTACAAAGATTTATGCTGTAGATGTGACATTGCTGACTAAGATATGTTGAAGTTGTAATACTGGGGACTACAAAGATTTATGCTCTAGATGTGACATTGCGGACTAAGATATGTTGAAGTTGTAATACTGGGGACTACAAAGATTTATGCTGTAGATGTGACATTGCGGACTAAGATATGTTGAAGTTGTAATACTGGGGACTACAAAGATTTATGCTGTAGATGTGACATTGCGGACTAAGATATGTTGAAGTTGTAATACTGGGGACTACAAAGATTTATGCTGTAGATGTGACATTGCTGACTAAGATATGTTGAAGTTGTAATACTGGGGACTACAAAGATTTATGCTGTAGATGTGACATTGCTGACTAAGATATGTTGAAGTTGTAATACTGGGGACTACAAAGATTTATGCTGTAGATGTGACATTGCTGACTAAGATATGTTGAAGTTGTAATACTGGGGACTACAAAGATTTATGCTGTAGATGTGACATTGCTGACTAAGATATGTTGAAGTTGTAATACTGGGGACTACAAAGACTTATGCTGATGTGTAGATGTAACATTGCGGACTAAGATATGTTGAAGTTGTAATACTGGGGACTACAAAGACTTATGCTGTAGATGTGATTAACATTGCGGACTAAGATATGTTGAAGTTGTAATACTGGGGACTACAAAGATTTATGCCGTAGATTTGACATTGCTGAATAAGATATGTTGAAGTTGTAATACTGGGGACTACAAAGATTTATGCTGTAGATGCTGTGACATTGCGGACTAAGATATGTTGAAGTTGTAATACTGGAGACTACAAAGATTTATGCTGTAGATGTGACATTACTGACTAAGATATGTTGAAGTTGTAATACTGGGGACTACAAAGATTTATGCTGTAGATGTGACATTGCTGACTAAGATATGTTGAAGTTGTAATACTGGGGACTACAAAGATTCTTGCTGTAGATGTGACATTGCGGACTAAGATATGTTGAAGTTGTAATACTGGGGACTACAAAGATTTATGCTGTAGATGTGACATTGCTGACTAAGATATGTTGAAGTTGTAATACTGGGGACTACAAAGATTTATGCTGTAGATGTGACATTGTTAACTAAGATATGTTGAAGTTGTAATACTGGGGACTACAAAGATTTATGCTGTAGATGTGACATTGCTGACTAAGATATGTTGAAGTTGTAATACTGGGGACTACAAAGATTTATGCTGTAGATGTGACATTGCTGACTAAGATATGTTGAAGTTGTAATACTGGGGACTACAAAGATTTATGCTTGTAGATATGTTGACATTGCGGACTAAGATATGTTGAAGTTGTAATACTGGGGACTACAAAGACTTATGCTCTAGATGTAATTAACATTGCTGACTAAGATATGTTGAAGTTGTAATACTTGGGACTACAAAGATTTATGCTGTAGATGTGACATTGCTGACTAAGATATGTTGAAGTTGTAATACTGGGGACTACAAAGATTTATGCTGTAGATGTGACATTGCTGACTAAGATATGTTGAAGTTGTAATACTGGGGACTACAAAGATTTATGCTGTAGATGTGACATTGCTGACTAAGATATGTTGAAGTTGTAATACTGGGACTACAAAGATTTATGCTGTAGATGTTACATTGCTGACTAAGATATGTTGAAGTTGTAATACTGGGACTACAAAAGATTTATGCTCTAGATGTAATTAACATTGCGGACTAAGATATGTTGAAGTTGTAATACTGGGGACTACAAAGACTTATGCTCTAGATGTAATTAACATTGCGGACTAAGATATGTTGAAGTTGTAATACTGGGGACTACAAAGACTTATGCTCTAGATGTAACATTGCGGACTAAGATATGTTGAAGTTGTAATACTGGGGACTACAAAGACTTATGCTCTAGATGTAATTAACATTGCGGACTAAGATATGTTGAAGTTGTAATACTGGGGACTACAAAGACTTATGCTCTAGATGTAATTAACATTGCGGACTAAGATATGTTGAAGTTGTAATACTGGGGACTACAAAGATTTATGCTGTAGATGTGACATTGCTGACTAAGATATGTTGAAGTTGTAATACTGGGGACTACAAAGATTTATGCTGTAGATGTGACATTGCTGACTAAGATATGTTGAAGTTGTAATACTGGGGACTACAAAGATTTATGCTGTAGATGTGACATTGCTTGCGGACTAAGATATGTTGAAGTTGTAATACTGGGGACTACAAAGATTTATGCTGTAGATGTTTATTGCTAACTAAGATATGTTGAAGTTGTAATACTGGGGACTACAAAGATTTATGCTGTAGATGTGACATTGCTGACTAAGATATGTTGAAGTTGTAATACTGGGGACTACAAAGATTTATGCTGTAGATGTGACATTGCTGACTAAGATATGTTGAAGTTGTAATACTGGGGACTACAAAGACTTATGCTCTAGATGTAATTAACATTGCGGACTAAGATATGTTGAAGTTGTAATACTGGGGACTACAAAGACTTATGCTCTAGATGTAATTAACATTGCGGACTAAGATATGTTGAAGTTGTAATACATTAAGATAAGATATGTTGAAGTTGTAATACTAGGGACTACAAAGATTTATGCTGTAGATGTCACATTACTGACTAAGATATGTTGAAGTTGTAATACTGGGGACTACAAAGATTATTGCTGTAGATGTGACATTACTGACTAAGATATGTTGAAGTTGTAATACTTGGGACTACAAAGATTTATGCTGTAGATGTGACATTGCTGACTAAGATATGTTGAAGTTGTAATACTGGGGACTACAAAGATTTATGCTGTAGATGTCACATTGCTGACTAAGATATGTTGAAGTTGTAATATCGGGGACTGTTGGAAGATATGTTGTATCTGTAACACTTCTGTGTCTGAAGTGTTGGCTAAAGGCACACTGTAGAAGAGCATTGTGAATTCGTACAATGAAAGTAGTTGCCAGAAATGTTTACTTGAGGCAGTGTGACGGTAACATACATTGTAAGGAGTTGTCCAAAATGTGGACTTAAGGCAAAGTGACGGCAATATACACTGTAAGGAATTGTAGGATGCATTTTTTGTTTCTACGGGCCCCCAATCATGGCTTCAAATTTTTATTCGCTCGATATGGGGTCTTTGAATGTCATCATCGTTAATTTCAAAATCGTGATAAGAGCACAGTTGTGTAGTGTCGTCTAATGGACGTGGTTGTTTTGGTCGGATAGAGAAGTCTTATATTTGCCGATAACGTACCATTCGTACATTTAAGCATGACCGGCCTCAAACAAGATAACATTTTTCTCGTTGTTATTGTGACGATGTTCTCAGTTATGTCATACCAGTATTTTGACTTGTCAAAAATATGAATAAATGGATTTATACTGTTGTGAAGAAAGTGTATTCGTTTTTAATAATTTTTGGACGACCTGTTTCAAATACATCCTTAACCTTAATGAATTGAAGCAACATAATAGTAAACAGAGACATACAGGCTAAATGATAAATTACATTCTCACAAAAGAATGTTAGGCATGTTTTGGTCATTCTCGACTGTTCGGCGACAGTTTTCTGTAATACGTTTCTCGGCTTTTCTGGTTTGTTCGCTGCAGAATGGACTCCGGTTTGAACATTTCTTGAAAAAAATGCAAAATGAATTGACTTTGCCCCAAAATGTCTCAGTTTACAGAGTTTCAGAACGATTAATGTAGGTCCATATTTAGAATGCAACTGACAGGTGAAAGAAACGATACCGAAGTTAACAATATCAGAATTTCAGAAAAAAAACCATTCATAATATGTAAGCATGGTTCAATCAAACGCGCACAACCAACATGACTGACCCGAATACGTAAAATTCACTTTATGCGATGAAAATGATATTCATATTCAGAATGACCACCACTTGAAACAATGGTATAGATATATATGACATCAAACTTACGATAACATTATAATAGTAAATAAATATTCACAGGGCACACGTGGCATCGTTATGATACATATCGAGTTACTCAGCCATGTGTAATGACCTAAGGCTACGTGCATATTACCAAATTGATGATACGTATTGTTCCAAACTGGCAATACCATGCACTGACCATAGAGCGGCCAGGGGATGAATGGCCAGGCTGAAGCGTTCGCTCCTCACGCCGAAGACCTGGATTCGATTCCCCACATGGGTACAATGTGTGAAGCCCATTGGTTTCCCCCGTCGTTATGTTGCTAAAATCGGCGTAAAACTAAAATCAAGCACAGAACGGCCCTATTGGTTAGAGCGATGCTCATGCTGTTGATCACTGGATTGTTTGGTCCAGATTCGATTATTTACAGACTGCCGCCATATAGCTGGAATATGTTTGGGTGCGGCGTTAAACAACTACCAAACACACCGTAAAGCGTCAGAGCGTGACTAGCATCAACGAGTACCGCTACTTTCGGGTTTTGAACCTGAGGATCGCATTCATCAGTTCCAACCACAGATAGTTGTCTATCCAACAGATGGACAGTGTCAAAGAGACCGAGACTGTATGGTATTCCGGCGTATTAACATTCCGTGGAGGAAACCCTTAGACGCCACCATCGAGGCTGAGATGGACACGCGCCATATGCCAGTAGCAGAGGAGAAGCTGTTCCTTTATGATGAAAGATGGTTGTAACTCTTCAAAGCCGTTGCGTAAATCAGAGAACCTCGCCGTGATCAGGGGGGTGGAGACGTATTGTGGAGGAAGCATGGTGGGAGGATTAATCCGTGGTGAAATCGAAACATCTTTTCCTGCGCCAGTCTGACAGCCCAACACTCAGCGAAGTACATCGTCAAGTTATCTCACCTTCTCTGAAGCAAGATCCATATCACCGGTTCCATCATGACAACGCCGGACCGCGTCATGATTAACATTCTGCATGCTAACAAAGTTAGCCCTGGCCTCACCGAATAAGCATTACAGAGTGAGTGAGGTTAGTTTAGTTTTACGCCGCACTCAGCAATATCCCAGCTATTTGGCGGCGGTCTGTAAATAATCGAGTCTGGACCAGACAATCCAGTGATCAACAGCATGAGCATCGATCTGCGCAATTGGGAACCGATGACATGTGTCAACCAAGTCAGCGAGCCTGACCACCCGATCCCGAAGCATTACAGAACTTCGGTGGGATTTTAGATTGGAACAAAGAACGACCCCCTTACACATGAGACACATTGCTCAAGCATCGGTCTCAATGGAAAGTGTGGCCAAGTCGAATAAGACTCGGGAGGAACCTGTTCTAGTAGGTCGAATCCCTGTACTCCCCCTTTATGTTTCCAGGTTGGTCAGCACCAGACTTGTGCTCGTGGGTTTCACCAAAGTGGTGAATGTCTGGGATCTGCTCCAAGAAAGGCTTTTCTGTCATACCAAGCTTACCCGCTTTAATACACATGGAATACTGTTCAAAACGATGCTAAAATCAACTCACCCTCTCAATGTGGCAGAGTTTAGCATGTTTAGGTTTCAAATAAGCTTGATTGATGTTATAAGTTAGTGATCCTTTTTGACAATATGTCTAAATTGTGTACAGGGCAATGACCGCACATTCATAAGTACTGCACGTATTCTGAAGAATGTGCCTGCAAAATCGGCAGCTTTGTTGTCTTTTCGGAAACTGTGATGTTAATTTCTTCCCAAGACATTTCAATACGACAAGATACAGACGTCTCTATTCCAAGTCAGAATATGTCCGCATGACCAAGGATGTCGTAGGAGCAGACAAAAATGGTTATCCGTTATCTATAGTGACTATGGCTGAAATATTGCCAATGTGACTATAGATTTTAACTCACTCACTATCTATAGTGACACATTGTCTCATGGAGTTGGTAAGACGGTGTTATGTGTGTAAAATTAACAGATGCTAAGCTCGTGCGACGTGGCACTCCTAGTGTGTTTCAGTGTGGTTATTCCACGTTCATAGGGGTCGATAAAAGCAGTATTTGATTTTTTATCACTATATATCAACACAAACGTACAGATGAAGATTGGACAGTGGCACGGGATATCAACAGGTTGATCCACGTGGTTGAGATAGATCCTGTGCAAGTTAAGCTGGCGATGGAGAGTTCGGAAATATATTATAACATGCATATATGATATATCTTATGTCATTAAGAATATCGTGTTACTATGACAACGCGAACGCCATGTGACGTTTGAAATTAGCACACAGTAAACATGGTTTCTTAAATATCAACTGTTTAATGTCTTCGAGGACGTTAGAGGAAACGGTTTGTGTAGCTGGTGATATGATCACAGGGTACATTCCATAATCCGTCAGTTTGTGTTCCTCCGAAGCCTGCTCACTACACAGTGGAATGTCTTCCTCAGATCACGGCGTATGAACTCTCTGAAGTCACCGAGACGACCAGCGTAAATGAAGATGTTGGTAGCTGACGTCATGTACAGCAGAATACGGGCACTGGCTCTGAAATACAGCGAGGATAAACATAACATATCGTTTTAGTGTATACCACTCAACTGTTGACAGAGATATTCAGACATACTTCCCAGTTTCCGTTAAAAAGAATCTTCTCATATTATGAGAATCAGGCCTTCGTACGACACAAAGCCTTCGTACTGCCCCTTCTGAATCCGCCCCTGATGCGTGTGGATTCCCGCTCATTTGAGTGAGTGAGTGAGTGAGTTAATATTTAACGTCACATCGGCAATATCTCAGCCATATCGTGACGAAAACAATTAACATAATACAAAAATGATAACATTATGAAGAGTTAAACCTGTCGACGATGGACAGTAAAAATACTAGAGTATCACAGATATGAACATAAAACTAGCATGTAAAACTAAAACAGTGTAATTAAAGAAGACAATACAATATAAAACACGGGCTATAGATCGTCAGCATCTGAAGGTAGATCACCATACTAGGAACCATGGGGACTTACATTACTTTTGCTACCTGCATGGAGCCTAGCTGGATTGACATCATCCCTTCAGCCGCTGGCGATTGTAGGATAATTTAGCCGAAATTTAAAAGAACAAAAATACTACGTCTAAAAACTTGGTACCTGAAAATTTAACTTTGAATGTTTTGGGGACTTACGTACGCCTCTCAGGAGGACAATAATTTTACGGTACTTCAACCCCATTTGAGGATAGCTCATTTGACATCACACGTTGTTGCTCATAGCGATAATCACCTGACTAAATGATTGTCCTCCTGGGAGGGTACGTAAGTCCCAAAACTTTCAAAGTTAAATTTAAGCTTACCGGACATTTTAATCGTAGCATTTTTGTCCTTTTAAAGTTCGGCTAAACTTTTCCCACAATCGCCAGCGGCTGAAGGGATGGTGTAAATCCAACTAGGGTCCATGCAGGTAGCAAAGGCACTGTAAGTCCCCATGGTCCCTGGTATGGTGATCTACCTTCAATTGTTGGCGATCTATAGCCTGTTTTATATTGTATCGTCCTCAATAGTTAAAGTATTATAGATTTAATTACTAGTTTTAAACATATCTATCTGTGATAGTCTAGTTGGTTTTACTGTCCTTTGTCGGCAGATTTTTAAAATGATATAATTTGTTTTCATCGCCAAATGGCTGTAATATTGCCGATGCGATGTAAAATTTTAACTCACTCACTCACTGATCTCCTGACTGTCTAAACCGGAGGTATTTTTCAATGACGCGTTCAAACAGCTAAACAAATAAAATCTAACCTGATATAATGGTTGATGTGGCAGGTTTCACACGCAATACTGACGAAGAAGTAGATGACCATTGGTGTCCAGCCCACAGCGAAACTGAACAGGAGGATGGCCACCATGATGGTGGATTTGACCTCCCGACCAAAGATACTGCTGGATCTGTTGAACGATATCCGGCATGGAGAGGGTCGTGGCGGCACATGTAGCGACATAACCTTCGCCTGAATCATTTCAGAAATAAGGTTAAGTTCCAAAGTTTTCAAATATCCCAAATGGATGTGAAGAAAATGGCACAAGTATATGTTACATTTCTTCAGACATAGAGGGGCTGTAGGGTAGCCTAGTGGTTGAAGCGTTTGCTCGTCTCGCCGAAGACCCCACATGGGTATAATGCGTGAAGCCCATTTCTGGTGTCACCCGCCATGATATCGCTGGAGTATTACTAAAAGTGAAGTACAACCAAATTCACTCACTTACCCTAATGTTTAATGTTCATATATTGTCAGGTTGTCATCGAACCATCTTGGTATATTATGGGGAGAACGGCTCGGTGGGCTAGCTCGCCACGCTAACGACCCAGGTGTGATTCCCCACGTGGGTACAATGTGTGAAACATATTTCTGGTGTCCACCGCTGTGATATTGCTGGAACATTGCTAAAGCGGCGTAAAACCATTCTCACTCACTAACGGAAATCTATACTGTGTATAAAGTGGTGTAAATGTTATTGTTTTGAAAAAATCAACAAATTACTCATTATGATCAATGTTTCATTGACAAAACCCATACACAAGAACAGAAAAATAGACATTTCTTGCAAAGAAATCCTGTAACAACTCAATATCGAATCGACTGTGACCATCATTTGCTTGGATACAAGGTGAGGTGAGGTGAAATTGGGTTTAACGTCGTGCTTGAGACTATTTCGCTCATATGACGACGTGCATGCGTGTGTATGTGTATCTGCAGCTGCTTGTACTAGCCCAGACTAAAGCTGGTTTTATAGTGCTAGCCCACTGTGATATCATGCCGCAGTGAAGCATTAATACCCCACTCAGACACATTATACTGACTCCGAGCCGACCAGTCTTTGTTGTACCCATTAATGCCGAGCGCCAGGCAGAGACCAACAAGTACCATATTTTAACGTCTTTAGGTATGACGCGGTCGGGGATCGAACCCGCGACCTTCCGCTCCCCCCGGCGGACGCTCTAACCACTACACCACGGAGGCGGTCGCTTGGATACAAGGAAGGCAATATGACAAAGGAGGGTTTATTAATGTTTTCTTTTGAAGTACTGCAGACGATCATCATTGTGTCTGGATATGAAGTGTGTGCACGTTCATAGATACACACCCGTGAAGATCCGGGTTAAAATCTTGATCTTCAGTAACCCAGGCCATGCTTGTCGTAAGAGGTGACTAACGGGATCGGGTGGTCAGGTTCGCTGACTTGGTTGACACATGTCATTGTATCCCAATTGCGAAGATCGATGGTCATGCTGTTGATCACTGGATTGTCTGTTCCAGACTCGATTATTTACAGACCGACGCTTTATAACTGTAATATTGCTGAGTTCGGCGTAAAACTAAACTCGCTCACTTATGGATACACGTACATACTCACATGCCTGCGGGCGATCCGGGCAATCTTGCAGTAGAGGCCCACCATGACAGAGAGAGGAAGGAAGAGTTGGATTACAAACAGGATCCCGACATGATGCAGGGAAAAGATGAGTTCATACTGGCAGATGCCCTTGTAGTCAACTGAAGAGGAACAACAGAAATTCCATAAAGAACATGGCGGAGCAGTTTTGAATCACAACATCGATCTATCTGAGACTTCAAAACCGTAGTATCAAATCTTATGACTTGTGCAATAAGTTTTAAAATAATATCATATTAAAACATCAGTGGAGGTGGAATTGCTGCATTTGCATTGCGTTCCTACAGATCATGGAACCGCGTGGGTATTACTTGTAAGAACTATCATCACACCCATGGCCACCTCCCATCACATGCTGGTGATACAAGGAGACAGGGCGGTGGGGTAGTCTAGTGGTTAAAGCGTTCGTTCGTGACGCCGAATACCCGGGTTCGATTACCCATAAGGTATATTATAAGCCAGCTTTGGAATTCTATTTTCATGCATACCAATAAGCTTTATCCAATATTTCAAGCATCTAATCTGAGAATTGATATATATTGGGTGTCTTCCACATTCGCCGTAAATCATACAGTTTGGTGTAGATAATCCAACGGATAAATATCTTTGCATGCTAAAAGGTGAAGTTTTTCTAAACAATCGTATCTTTGATAACCCCAAATATCAGATCCATATAACATTATTGGTTGTATCTGCGAATCAAAGAGTTTAAAAATATATAAGGTGAGGTAATTCCAATTTTATATGAAACAGACATAACGTTGAATAGGGCTTTCTTTGCTCTTGATACTAAATCTTCTATGCTTTTAGAAAAGTTCATTGTATGGGTAAACAGAAGACCAAGATATTTATAATGACTATTAATCTTAAGGTGTATCCCATTTAGTACCCACGTTTCATTTACGGATAACGAACCACCCCTTCTGAAAATGACAATATTTGTTTTGTCGTAATTAACCGATAACTTCCATTCTTTTGTGTAACGTCCCAAGATATTAAGTTGATTTTGTAGTCCTACAATAGTGTCTGAAACTAAAATGACATCATCAGCAAAAAGTAACATTAGTATTTCAGTCATATCTGGGAACATCTGAATACCATGTTTTCCATTTTTAGCAATATCGTAATACAATTCATTAATGAAAAATGAAAATAACATTGGGCTTAAAATACATCCTTGTCTTAATCCGACTGGACAATCAAAATAATCTGTAAAATCATCACCACATCGCACACATGATTTTATATTAGAATACATAGACCTTAAAACAGAATACATTTTCCCTCGTAATCCGGTCTTTAGCAGACAATACCATAATTTAGAACGATCAACAGAATCGAAAGCTTTTTTAAAATCGACGAACGCTACATACAATTTGTGTTTTCGGCGTGAAAGACGTTTTTGAATTATTGCATTTAATGTAAAGATGTGATCTGAAGTAGAATAGTTTTTTCGAAAACCGGCCTGAGTTTCTGGGATTAAGTCCCGCATATTTGCCCAATTTGTTATTCTATTATTTAATAAAGTTGTGAATATTTTGCCCAGAATACTCGTAAGTGAGATGCCTCTATAGTTGTCAGGATCATCAAATTTCCCCTTCTTATGAAGAGGAACAATAATTGAAGAAGACCAGCTAGTTGGAAACATACCATTATCAAACAGTCTATTGAAACATTTTGTGAGAAATGGCATGATTACGAATTCCGAACATTTTATCATTTCTATGATGACATGATCAGGACCCGCCGTTTTCCCGTTTTTTAAATGTGATATAGCATTGGATATTTCATTTTCTGATATTGGTGATTCTAGAATAAATTTATCCACATCAGTGTAACATTCTGATGGTGAACTAACCATGTCATTTAAAACATCGTTATCTTGATCGATATCAAATACAGACTCGTTTGAGAATATTTTCTTAAAATGCATTAACCATTCAGTTTTGGGAATAGAATTTTGATGGTGTGGTCGGTTTTGTAAGAAGCGTATTTCTCTCCAGAATTTAGAAGGACATTTGATCGAACTGTTGAGTCTGTTTTGCCTTTGTTTGCAATATTTAGATTTAAATCTCCTACAGCAATTTTTAAACTTATTTCTCATTTTGCAATATTGCGTTCTATTCGAAACTGTGCGTTTACACCGAAATGCTCTGAGGGCCTTACGGGCATCACGCCTCGCTGATTTGCATTCCGCATTCAGTTGGGGCGTTCTATTACTGTTAGCATGTTTAACATTAACCTTTTTCTTCATACGCTCGGACGAGATTAAAATCATATGTACAAATTCATCAATAGCACCATCAATGTCAATATCAAGCATTGTATGTAAATGTTGACAACAGGACAACATTTTATCAGATAAATTATCGACAAAGTATTTACATAGCGAATCATTCCAAACAATCTTTTCTTTATCATAACAACCATCGGTCAGTTCATTTTCATTGTGTACATGTGGAAATTTACAAGTCAACTCCAGTGGGGAAATGGTCTGAGTCAATGCGATCTCCAATGTTAAACATCTCAATATACTGGAAAAAAACCTGTGAACAGATGATATAATCGTTCACGCTCGAGCCCTGATGATTACAAAAGGTATATTCTCCAAGCCTATCTCCAAAAGCTCTGCCATTGACAATAAACAATTGAAGTGCATAACACATATCTAATAAAATACGACCAAAACTATTTACAACTTTATCATGCGATTTGCGGTCATCGAGTGGGGTATCCCCTTCTTCACTATATTTTAGATGCTCATTTCCGATGTCATCATCAAAACTAACGTAATGGTATCATGCCGCAGTGAAGCATGAATACCCCACTCAGACACATTATACTGACTCCGAGCCGACCAGTCCTTGTTGTACCCATTAATGCCAAGCGCCAGGCAGAGACCAACAAGTACCATATTTTAACGTCTTTAGGTATGACGCGGTCGGGTATCGAACCCGCGACCTTCCGCTCCCCGGGGCGGACGCTCTAACCACTACACCACGGAGGCGGTCGCTTGGATACAAGGAAGGCAATATGACAAAGGAGGGTTTATTAATGTTTTCTTTTGAAGTACTGCAGACGATCATCATTGTGTCTGGATATGAAGTGTGTGCACGTTCATAGATACACACCCGTGAAGATCCGGGTTAAAATCTTGATCTTCAGTAACCCAGGCCATGCTTGTCGTAAGAGGCGACTAACGGGATCGGGTGGTCAGGTTCGCTGACTTGGTTGACACATGTCATTGTATCCCAATTGCGAAGATCGATGGTCCTGCTGTTGATCACTAGATTGTCTGTTCCAGACCCGATTATTTACAGACCGACGCTTTATAACTGTAATATTGCTGAGTTCGGCGTAAAACTAAACTCACTCACTTATGGATACACGTTCATACTCACATGCCTGCGGGCGATCCGGGCAATCTTGCAGTAGAGCCCCACCATGACACAGAGAGGAAGGAAGAGTTGGATTACAAACAGGATCCCGACATGATGCAGGGAAAAGATGAGTTCATACTGGCAGATGCCCTTGTAGTCAACTGAAGAGGAACAACAGAAATTCCATAAAGAACATGGCGGAGCAGTTTTGAATCACAACATCGATCTATCTGAGACTCCAAATCTTACGACTTGTGCAATACGTTTCAAAATAATATCATATTAATGCAGCAAAGAAACATCAGTGGAGGTGGAATTGCTGCATTTGCATTGCGTTCCTACAGATCATGACACCGCGTGGGTATTACTTGTAAGAACTATCATCACACCCATGGCCACCTCCCATCACATGCTGGTGATACAAGGAGACAGGGCGGTGGGGTAGTCTAGTGGTTAAAGCGTTCGTTCGTGACGCCGAATACCCGGGTTCGATTACCCATAAGGTTAAAATGTGTGAAGCCCATTTCTGGTATCCCCCGCCGTGATATTGCTCGAATATTGCTAAAAGCGGCGTAAAACTAAACTCACGCATTCGCTCTCAAGTAGACATATTGTATTGGGTGGTAAGGATGATTGAATGATTGCTTGTCAGAGTACCCCGATGTCAAGGGTATATGCTTAGAATATCCATCACTGGATTGTCTGGGTCACACTCGATGTTTTTACAAACTGTCATTTTTCGGCTGGAATATTGCTGAGTGTGGTATTAAACAACAAACAAATATATAATGGCTTTTAATCTCAATAGTTGAAGAAAAAACGCAAGCCTCAGATATTTAGATTCAGATAAACATCACGCATAATTCCCGCAAACAAGGCATACATTCATGGTGAACGGTAGAGCGGCACCCATGATAAACGGTCCTCGCACTATAAAGAGACACGGCGTCACTAACTGGTCTGGGGCGACGGAAATGATATTTGCTTGTGGATAAATGTGTGTGTTGAATGTGACGTAAAGATGAAAAAGTTATAGACAGCTTGATCGAGGTAATGTATTTAAGCCTACCTTAAGGCGTGTACAGTTTGTAATATTATAACATAATTATATTATGTCTTGACATCAACACAAAGCATATGTGATGGTCGTAGACATATATATTCTATTTCGCTGCTTGATATCAGACCTAGACTAACAACAAGTCTCTGAAATGAACATATTTTACAGAAAAAAGGCTCATAGTGAAAAAAACCAAAATATAATAAAAAGGAGCCCTGTGATTTTCTAGACTTACATGGGATTTCTTGGATATATTCGCTTCAGGGTCTGTATGACAGACTATATCTGACCAGTCGTGATGTAGATAATATTTCAATATATATTTTGGAACGAGATTTAAATTAGAGAAACGGTTTATGGTCAGTTACTAGTAACGCTTAAATTTTCAAAAATCGATAAACATAATGTATTTTCGGATTTGTAAGTGCTGCTTGATATCATGTGCTAAAGAACACACGGAAATAAAATTAAAATGTTTTTTAGCGTTTATTTATGTATCACTTCATTAAAAAAATCTATTTTTAACAAATGTAAAAATAACTGTTTTTCCCAACTAGGCCGTTTATCAAAAATACCATCATCATCCAAAATACCATTTAACAGGTAAAAATAACAAGAATTTGCAGATTATCAACAAATTTGATAACATGTTATAACTTACGTCACAAACAAACGTTGCCATAGCGATTGTGCACTTGACAGTCAAAGCTATGAATGAACTCGTAAAAGTAGTTAACTTTCAAAAAGAGTACAGGCATGAAAATGTACAGAGAAAATCTCTGAATCACTTATTTTATATATCAATTAGGATAACAGAATTAAAGGTTGAATGGTATCTGACGTTTTTCATAGAATATATTATGTACGCGAACCTGTGGAGATTGCATCTTATTTGCATACTATAGCTTGTATCAGAACGTACATTCTGACTTTGATGAAAATTCAAGGGGTGAAGATGACACGATTTGCTCTCCAAAAAGTGTTCAAAACTAAAGTTGAGAAAAAAACGATAGTCATAGAATATTTAACAATCAAACTTAAGTTGCGTTCAAAACTACGAAATACACGCCCAAAACCATTTCATTTCTATTTCCGTGAGTATTTTAGGTAATTGATTATTGACACGGAATAAAGGCAGGCTGATGGATGACGCACCTGGATCATAGAATGTATACTGTGCCACCGCTATGCCTTGGGAGAGGATCCAGATGATAGGGATGCAGATGGCAGTGCTCCTTGCGGTGATGATGTGGTGGTAGCGGAGAGGGTGGACGATAGCGATGTAGCGAGTCACCGTGATGGCCACTAAGTGATAGGAAGAGCAGATTTCTAGGGCCAGGACCTGGGACACCAGGATTCGACACACGGACCATTTTCCTTCAGACAGATACGGTGGACAATATAATGTTTACACATCAAACAAGCACGTAAAACACGCTTTGCAACCATTGGGGTTGTATGGAAACAAATATTGGGGTTGTATAGAAACAAACATTGGGGTTGTATAGAAACAAACATTAGGGTTGTATAAAACAAACATTTGGGTTGTATAAAACAAACATTGGGGTTGTATAGAAACAAACATTAGGGTTGTATAGAAACAAACATTGGGGTTGTATAGAAACAAACATTGGGGTTGTATAAAACAAACATTAGGGTTGTATAGAAACAAACATTGGGGTTGTATGGAAAACAAACATTGGGGTTGTATAGAAACAAACATTAGGGTTGTATAGAAACAAACATTGGGGTTGTATAGAAACAAACATTGGGGTTGTATAGAAACAACCATTAGGGTTGTATAGAAACCAACATTGGGGTTGTATAGAAACAAACATTGGTGTTGTATAAAACAAACATTGGGGTTGTATAGAAACAAACATTGGGGTTGTATAGAAACAAACATTTGGGTTGTATAGAAACAAACATTAGGGTTGTATAGAAATAAACATTGGGGTTGTATAGAAACAAACATTAGGGTTGTATGGAAACAAACATTGGGGTTGTATAGAAACAAACTTTGGGGTTGTATAGAAACAAACATTGGGGTTGTATAGAAACAAACATGGGGGTTGTGTAGAAACAAACATTGGGGTTGTATAGAAACAAACATTGGGGTTGTATAGAAACAAACATTGGGGTTGTATAGAAACAAACATTGGGGTTGTATAGAAACAACCATTAGGATTGTATAAAACAAACATTTAGGTTGTATATAAACAACCATTGGGGTTGTATAGAAACAAACATTGGGGTTGTATAGAAACAACCATTAGGATTGTATAAAACAAACATTTGGGTTGTATAGAAACAACCATGCGGGTTGTATAGAAACAAACATTGGGGTTGTATAAAAAACAACAACATTGGGGTTGTATAGAAACAAATATTGGGGTTGTATAAAAAATAACATAGGGGTTGTATAGAAACAAATATTGGGGTTGTATAAAAAATAACATTGGGGCTGTATAAAACAAGCATGGGGTTGTATATAAACAAACATTGACGTTGTATAAAGACAAGTATTGGGATTGTCATTTCCATTCAAATCACCTGAAACAAATTATCTAAGGAAATGTGTCATTGGAAAGAAGTGGCGTATGTTAATACAATAAAAAAATATATAAAAAACCCAACTTGTAGCGTAAGCAGCAAGGTTTTGTCGATACACTATCCTCAGAGCGTCATAATTAAACTTCACATTCACACATGCATAACTGGTTGTGCCGAGGGTAAAGCATATTTAAGCTCACCATATGGCGCTATTGGCAACCACTGCGGTACATCAATGTCAAAGATTAACAATACACAGCAAAACATGACACATAAAAACTGGAATAGCATTAACAAACTCCAAACTAAATTTCCTAATGATACCGAAAGAAATGGGTGAGGAAAAATGAAAATGGCATTTGTCATGACGGCTGCCGTGACACAATTTTAGAGGATCCAGAGCTGGGACCACATGAACAAAATATAGATATTTCAGAAGAGATGTCGAAATCGCTTAATGTTATACTGACGCACAAGGAGAAAATATCAAGCATGTGTAATATTGTTATCGTCAATACGACCGCCGTGGCACGTCAGACCTATGAAATCTGTGATCATGCAACTAGCGAGTGAATGAATGGGGTTGTGATTCAGAGAGTGAGTTAGGTAAAATTGAAAGTCACATCAGTACCATTCAGCTATTGTTTATGTGTTTACAAAAATCTCACAACACAATAAAAACGCAAATACATTTAATGTCCTTGTGGGGTAAAAATTTCTAACTTCACCAAGTACATTTAAAAAATAATACCAACGTACACAAAACAATGATCTCTGTATTGTCTTGGATACCAAACCTTTGCTGCATTCGAGAAGCAAACAGAAATGATCAATATTTTCTATATGGCTACTTGAGCATTATAGTATATAAGTCACTGTATATGTGCAAGTTCGTTTACGACTGACAGACAACGACCAAGGCATCGCTCACTTTCAATAAGGGTCCCCGACGCAAATTCCAACCAAAATGCTAAATAGTAGTATTATTCACCCATCTATTATGACAAGAAAAACAAGGACAATCAGGTTTTCATGTAACCGTATGACAAGCATACATGCAGATAAGTACGTAATCCATTGAAACGGTTAAGTTCGAATGGCAATTAAATTACGAATTACCACAAAGCTAGTTTGCTGAGTACTGAGTACGTTGAATGCCGATTTTATTAACACACACAACGAAATGTGTTATATATCTGCCATGCGTTAAATGTTGGTAGACACTGTTTAAACATTCTCTGTACTCTTTATATGCACATACGATTCACCTTACGTTACAACCCTCAATAAATCATTCAACAAGGTAATGGATAAATGTTAAAAAATACTTAACTGGCTTCGTCTGATGAAAAAGATGCTGTAAATATTTACTCCCACGTCATATAGCAAGATTGCTTCGTAACAGAAAACCTTACAAAGTCTGAATGAACGTTGTGTTACATCTACACATACTCTATACTCTCAACTTATCTCCAAATGTAGATTATGGATAATTTAAACGTCATCAGATAAGACTTCCGCGCATTGGCTAGAATTAATTAATAACTGATAATGTAGCTGTCAGTAACGCCATTGCCATCGATGAGTCATAGTCTTTATAGTCTAATCACACGTGAAAGAAATTTAAAAACATAGGTTCCGAAGCGAAGACACTCCAGATAATTGTCGGGCTCTCTCTTGCAACTATTGTAAGCAGCAGCTTTCGTCACAGAAGTCATTATATTTTTTGGGATGACACATAGTATTGTATGGCATTATGTCATCATCTCTTTTATTACACAGTTGTGATAAATGATCCAACGCTATTGTAATATAGAAGAAACTGCGTACGGAAAACCTAATAAAAATGTTATGCATCGACGTAATTTATTTCAGTAACCGGCGCGACTGTCGTCAGCGAGACATTGCAATTCTAGATAGTTTCATCAAATATGATAAAGCCTGATCGTTCTTATACTTAGTCTCGACAAGGAGGTGAATAGGGTAACAAGACATTTGCATGAAATTAATAACAAAAGAAAAGACAATGCTGATAAAATATTTTCAAGGCAGTTGTGTTACGATCACGTGCTTCAGCCAAGTCAGCGAGCCGGACAGTTATAGCTAAAATGGATACACCTTCTCCATAAAAGGAGGGTGTCAATTCCACAACCAGTAAAACCAAACAATAACGTATGTTAAAATTAAACGTTCACACGAGGAAGTACGGCATAAAATGGCTAAGTGCATGATAGTGACTTGTTGGAAAGAGAACTGAGGTTAACTGTCAAATCATAGTGTTCGGCACAGTGGTGATGGACTTCATCGTACGTCCAGTGATTGTCGTCATAAAGGAGAGTATGGAACTAGAATAAGTTTTTCTTTACTGACCATAGCCATAGGTTATACATACAGATAAATTATGCGTTGAAAACATTATTAAACACAAACTAATTTGAAGGAGACATAATAAACAATCAAAGTAGATTTTTGATGGTGTTTCCCGAAGTTCATATGTGCGGAGGCAATATCACAGACATAGTTCCTATGCAAACAATATGCTGTGAAGTAACGTTCATTACAATATATCTGTTCTACCAGTTTAAATCCAGAATCTGAATTTCGGTAAACCTACAGAAGCACCTAATTCCGATTTGAATGTACCCTTCCTTGGTATCCATTGGCAAACCTCTCTGAGTGAGTGAGTGAGTTTAGTTTTACGCCGCACTCAGCAATATTCCAGCTATATGGCGGCGGTCTGTAAATAATCGAGTCTGGACCAGACAATCCAGTGATCAACAGCATGAGCATCGATCTGCGCAATTGGGAACCGATGACATGTGTCAACCAAGTCAGCGAAACTGACCACCCGATCCCGTTAGTCGCCTCTTACGACAAGATAGTCGCCTTTTTATGGCAAGCACATGGGTTGCTGAAGACCTATTCTACCCCGGATCTTCACGGGTCTCTCTGAGAGTCATATAGAAGCTTGAGTACTTAGTGAGGATAGCATGTATGGGTGAACAACTTCGTTATTACAATTGGGAGCGACATTTGTTTCATAGAATTAGGGGCGACCCTTCGCTGTACGTTCTAACACTGTTGTCATGGAAGTGATGAACAGAGTATGTTTGAGAGGCTTATGTACAAATATGACTACTGGCAAATAGTATACCACATTCCTTGTAACTGTTGACACCCTAAAATTGGTGAAATATCAAGACCCCTCACAACCCAAATTATAGAACGTCACAGCTGAAACATCCAGTGGGACAAATTCAAAGTCCACAAAACCAACCTCAAAGACTTCAATATTAGAAAAGTTCAACAGGCGATCCGCATTAAGAGAATCCAACCACCAAGCAACTTTGATCAAGACTATTACGTACCTCCAGCTTACTATCAACTCATAAGATATTAGAAATTAAATCAATAAAAAAACTTGTTTATAATATAGAGCATCACGTCTTGCACATTGTATAACTGGCAGACTAATCGGCTCTGTTGTAACCAAACCCAGCCCACTCAACTGTAGGTACATTTTCCATATTTGTAGATACAACTCTCAACTCTGTGCATTGATAAAAGTGTGAGAACCTACATCGTTGTAATAAAGAAAACCGTCCCCAACTGTAGGATACAAGTAAGTTGTTCATTGATATATGTGATCCTTACTGACATAAGCTAATCTGACTGGCTACGCCATTCCGTCTAACAATCAATCACCATGCGAGTTACTAGCGACTCGCAATGTATGAACAAAATGACGGACAGTGCCGTCGGTTTCGACAGAGCTTGCGGGCAATTCATCATTGAACACAACCGACCTATAAGCAAACCAAAGCCCTTCTTACTGATGTAACGAATAACTTAGACACGGTCCTATGGTCAAATTGAACAGCCATCCCCTTTGTCGTACTATCAAGTGCCATTTCCAAATTGCCACTACTTCATGCATTTGTACTTTGTACATTTGTACCACCACACTCCTCTCTAATCATTGTGTACCACCCTTTATGATGAGAAACACACAGAACGTTTACTTTCACGACATATTTTGTAAAAAGATGTAGTTACAAATTACTATATCTATCTGATTATGTTAAATCGATATTTCATTCACGTCAAAACGAAACATTAAATTATTTACAAACTAAATTCATATAACTAGAACATAGCAAACGAAGAACTTAATTGAAACTTCTTTCATCAGGAATATACCCATGCTGATGGGTAATATATTATATGTCTAAACGACATGACCTTTTGTTCAAATCGTTGCATGTACCTGCAGATTGTCTATAAATTTTAGTTATTTTTATATAAATTCTTAAGATATCGATGGTACCTTCATGGAGTTTATTGTACATATTCTATATGCAGGTAAATGTAAAATCTAAACCATTTACTTCATGCTTTTAGGTGGGCATATCTTTAATCAAAATCCCACTTTCTGTCTATCGAAATAGAAGACTATTATCCATCAATTTGTCTCTACATGTAATACATTGTACATCGACCACCATTTTTCATGTAATGCTTGTCACGTACAAAGTGTTGCTATTCGGTGGAAACAGGATGCATGTCAGAAGCATTCCGACAAGAAACAAACCTGTGTTGTCTATAGACGTTGATAGATTGAGAACACTGATATCTTCATTGCGCTATTGATCATTCACCTCACACAAGCTGTAAATAGAGCTACCGCCATCGACCTTGTAAAGAAAGGAATTGAAGGAAAGTAGACACTTATCACTGGTTGATTGTAGGATACTTAATAACGTTTTCAATGGGATTTCTTAGCTTGTGAAAGGAAATTTCTATACTTTAACCTTGAAATAGTTATTGGATGGATATCTTAACATGCCATTGAAGAATTTGTGATGGTTCAAAATGGACTTAAAATGAATATCAAAATCCATTTCATTCCGTTCAATTCAGCCTTTCTACTGGACCGTGCTTATGAATACATCCATATCCTATATATTCATCCAAAAACGAGTGCCGATAACTTGATCATATCTGTCTACAACACTATCAGATGGTTTAAGCGACAATCAATTCCGTCGCGATTCCTCAAGCCCTACAAAATGTCCATGACATGGTTTTGATGATACTTTTTTGTTTTGAAGATAATGTATAATTTATAAAACCAGAGCACTCTATTTCTGACACTAAATATCAGTCTACCTTCTTCCCGTCCTTCTCTTTGTTTTAAAATATATACGTGTCCCAAACACATCCAGAAAACAGTCCTCTCTTCCAAAATGTTTTAAACCGGTAATACAAAACTACGCATTCAAAATAAGCAAATATATGTAGTCAAAAATGTATGTTGAAAAAAACCATATCAATAGTTCAATTTTGTGTCACTATACTGAACAAAATAACAAACCTGACATCCACATACATAAATAATGGTATTAACTGAGAAGGGATTCTTTTTATTATGGTGCCATACAAATGCAAATGACATGTGACTGTTGGAACGTGGTTTTGGCCTCGACGTGAACACATTAGTCATATTTTTGCGTGAAGAAAAACATGAAACAGAACAATGAAAATCATGCCTGCTTCATTTCATTGTATCTCTCCAACTTGCATGCACAACACACTACTCATCTCTAAAGAAAAAGAAAACCATTCAACACTCATCACCGGTACACTACACATATACTTTGGTCGCAACAGTTCGTCAAACATCAGTATGGAATATATACCAGAATGCTCACACTCGAGGAAAACAAAGAACGATTCAGAGCAGCACTGTCCCTTCTTCCATAAGCCATTTAAACATGAAACTAACGTGTAGCATATATCATGTTTGTGCTTACACTACTGAGTGACATTTGACCACTTTCTCAATAGCATTGTGTCTTCATGAAATTAACAGGTCACAAAATACAGAATCACTCCTGTCAAGCAAAGCATTACTTCTCTGTTGCTAGAATAATGATTGTATTCAAGCACACTTCAGTGTTTTTGTTTGCACTCACGTTGGATCGTCATAACTCAAAGTAAATCTACACATTAATGTCAGTCTTATCAAAATGAAATGCTGGTTCTGGTTGCAGCCAATTGCAAACTAGGTATTCTAATACACCCCAACAAGGTCACATCAGAACTTTGACCGACCAGTGAAATGACTGACAGAAAGTCGACATTAGAATGTAGACGATGTGTTTTCTTTTCATTGTTCGCTTGTTGCCGCACTATAGTATTACAGCTATATGGCGACCGTCTCTATATAATCTAGTCTGTACCAGACAATCCAGTGATGAACAGCATGAACATCATTCTACGTAACTGCTATACGATTGTGTCAACTAAGTCAGCCAACACCCGATTCCGTTAGTCCTCTCTTAGAATGGGTTGCAGAAGACCAATTCTAACCCTGATCTTCACGGGTCAAATGAGTCAAATATTTATGAAATATCCCAGCTGCTTTCCAGGGACGTTCTTGATTCAAAGGCGTTGTTTTTATGTTAGATATTCAAAATAGTTTTCTTTAATATGTTGATGTTCGAGACAGTTTCGCTGGTTAAAAGATGAGGTGAATTCTTTCAGTGTGCCAGATATTCAAGATTGCAGGTTTGTATCTGGGATAGAGGGATCTTTTTCAACACGTAAATATGTATGATGGGCATGTGTGTTTGGTCGTTCATTTAAGAGTTTGGTGAATATGTTTGGTTGTAAGCTTTGGAGACATTCAACAGGGTATGAACAATTGACTAGCCCTTCCATATGTTGGTCGGGAAGGATAGGATTTGTAAAATCGAGATTTTGATATGGGTGTAGAAAGCATTTTGTCGCTGTTATTTAGGGCTTCACTCACGACAGGTTCCAGAATATAGAGCTTGGAATTAGTTGGTTTATATGTACACTGATTTATAGAATACATTCGACATTTATGGAAGACAGAGTATTTGACAATTGTGCACAAAGTATGTGTGCGCTTGTCACTGGATCGTACAAGAACTAGTACTTTGTTATTGTGACAACTTTATCATAATAATCAAGCCAGTATACAGAGTATAGTTTCATAATGTATTTTATGTAACATCATTGATATGTTGCCCTAGCCATGCACTATATTTAGTCTACAGTTTGAATTATCTGTTTAGATAAGTTTAACAAAAATTGTGTTTGAACAGAATGTGTAAATCATGTGGCATTCGAGGCGAGTTTTCAATATGGAAAATAAATTAAGTTGTTTTCCGGACACACAAAAATGAATGCTTCAAACGTTTTGATATGCTGACAATAGACAGAATATGATAACACTACACACCGGATACAGAGGTACAGATGATATACTTACCTAGAGGGCATGTTATAGCTGGTATTCCAATGTGCGATATATTGTATAGTGGGTACACAACACCCAGAATGAGATCCGACACTGCAAGGCTGCTGATATAGTAGTTGCAAGGTTGACGTAGTGGTTCATGGCGCAGTACTGTCACGATGACGAGGATGTTGCCCGGCAGGTTGACACAAGCAATCAAGAGGAACATTCCGTAATAGTAGGCCAGAAATGTCACATCCAATACGGTAGGCACTCCTTCGAGAAGCTGTGTTGTATTTGTGGTCATAACACTGCAGGTACTGTAGCTTACGTCATCACACTGTGGATAAGGTAGATCGGGTCACGACACTGTGTTTGGCGTCAACAGAATACGAAATGGTTGTTATAAGGTAGGATTTGTGATGATATTTAATATTGTACGTCACAATGTATGTACGCTGGCAGGTTCGTCATATATGAAGATGGTGTGGCGATGTCAAATATACATTTGGTGTGACGTTCTTTGGTACATCATGAATACATGGAATTTAACGATCACCAGAACGTCATATGCATGTAGTGTAACAATGTGTATGTCACACATGCATGCATTGTAAAATTTTAAATGAATCATGCATACATGTAGTGTGCCGATTTAAAGTACGTCCTACATGCATGCAATGTAACGATGTCCAGTACGTCCTACATGCATGTAGTGTAACGATATTCAGTACGTCATGCATGCATGTAATGTAACGACATCAGTACGTCATGCATGCATGAAGTGTAAAGGGAATCCGGTAGGTCATTCATGCATGTAGTGTAACGATATCCAGTACGTCATACATGTAGTGTAATGATATCCAGTACGTCATGCAAACATGTAATGTAACGATATTCAGTACGTCATGCATCCATGAAGTATAACGATATCCAGTAGGACATACATGTAATGTAACGATATCCAGTGCGTCATACATATAGTGTAACGATATTCAGTACGTCATACATGTAGTGTAACGATATCCAGTGCGTCATATACGCATGTTGTACACACACATTTTCAGTTTCATCAAAAACTCGATATCAGGTTCAAATGTTCCTTGTCTGTGGCGATCAGATGACACAGAAGTAGTATAAAGGACGTATCTCCGACTCCCTAGACGTGGACATCAAGACCCATGCTTGTAAATCCCGATGCCAGTGCACTTCTCTGTTGTGAACAGTTCTTTGGAATATCGATAGAACAGAATGAAACCTCTCTCCTCTTCAAACACAAGGCAAAGTGACAGAAATAGTGAATTTGACGGAATTCATTTTCATTTTCGTCAACTGATGCGTTTCCCGTTGCAGTTTGTAGTACCTCTATGGTTCTCTTGTGAACGTGGAAATCAGCATGTTGTGAAACACGGGCTTATATTATTGTACGATCCCGCTCTGCCATCAGAATCGACAATAATACATCTTCCTCATCAGCTGTCGTGAGTCCGTTGTTAAATTACAGCATTCCAACGTACACTTAACAAGACATGAACTTCCCCCACCCAGGGTCTCTCAAGTAAACACTTGAAATGACATTTCCACGTAAGCGTTAGCTGAAGATAAGAGCAACATAACTTCAACTCACGTTATTCCCAACTTGTTCGCATGGCAACGCTAAACCGCTGGTCAACGGCTTCAACAGCCTGAGAGTGTAGCAGTTACGATACGATTCGTTCCAAATGTCCCATGGTTCCTATTGACATTAAATCAAATAAAGCACACCTTTCATATGAAGAGTGCTAGAATAACACACAATTAAGACCACTTCCAAGCGTTTACACATCTCTCCATTACTCTTCGGCAGCGCCAACCGGTGGATTCCGCTCACAACCTAGACTTAATTGGTCTCCACAATTGCCTTGTTTTGTCAGGCACAACCGACAAATGGGTTCATACCAGCGATTAAGGGTATGCTATTTTTCAGTAATGTGCGTCATTTGTGACAGAAATCATGCATTAGCTTTAGATAGTGTTTGGTCACAGTAGCAGGAAGGATACACGTGGTAGTGAAGTCGTTTATCTGATATCTGTCGACTCTGCGTGCTGGGTCGGGCTGGCACAGACGTTTTATCTCAGCCACGCATTGAGTAAACAGTTGGGGCGGAAACTGGAAGAAAGACAGATAACTGCTGGGAAATTGTTGTCACGTTTAAAGGAAAAGTGTGATTGAATCTGATAAATCACATACGCTCTCGTAGTTTAATCAAAATATTGACATTTCATGGCCTTCAATCATAAATTATGGAAAATGAAGAAAGGTTTACAATGTTGAATTCATGTACCGAACTGAAGACAGACAAAAAAATATTTGCCATGAATTGGTGCACCCAACAGACGTGATTGTCAATAACTGGCTTAAATGCACTCTTAAAAAAGTAGGGGAACCTGAACTTTCAATTTGGTTAGGAAGTATAAGCGTAAATAAACTTTTACAAAGACAGACATCATATGAACGCAACGCAATTTCTCTTCATCACAACCCCTAAATACGACGCATGGGATGCATGTCCACAACGCAGTAGCCCCATATACCTGTCATTCCTGATTTTGACGGTTTTCAAGAAGGTCAATACATCACTATAGACCATTAATTTTGAAAATCATCTTGCATCACACAGTTGTTAGTGTTTGTTTCTTGACGATTTTAATATTGAAAATGGTCATCGTACGCATGCAAATTCCGCGTCATACACCAATCATCTTTCAATAGCGATTACTGTACAAACAACTGTGGTCAAAAGGAAGTTCAAGTGGTGATGCACTCTCAAAGCATTCTTTATTATCATATCAACATTGATTGACTCGGATATGTCTCCCAATTTATTCAATCGTGAATTAAAAATGAAAGTTCCGAAACTTTTTTAAAGAGTATGATTAAATGAAATAGAAATTAAGTTGCATCCCAAACCTACTTTATTAAAGATGCGTATGTATACATTATTATGTATGTTTGTGTATCTGTGTGTGCTTACTTGCTTGCTTGCTTGCGTTTTAATAATATCGCAGAAACCGTGTGAATGATAGCATGCGTACGGTGAAAGGTTATCAACCAAGTTTCTGAGCCGACCGAAATTCATTGTGTCACCTTTAATGACCAACGTGTCTTGCTGGTTACACGTATTGAGACTGTTGAAGTCAGTCACTTGATGAAGGAGTAAGAATATACTCCGAAACGCTAATAAAGAAGTTGACATCCATAACTTATTGCCTTTATATGCATCACTTCTAAATGCCGTTCAATGACATTGTCGAAGTAAAGTTAGTATTCTTTGTTACATTGTGCCGGTGTAAGATTTGTTTTGTACCAACATAAACACTCACGACTATGCAGACCCATGAAGGTCCGGGTTAGAATTGGTCTTCAGTAACCTATGCTTTTCGTAAGGGTTATGGCCCGGGAAAGCGAAATCTGGACCAAACCACCTCAATTTAAGTGTCGCTTTCGCGGGAACGGCCAAGCTACAGTGAACGCTGAATTTAGCGTTCCCGGGATTCTCAATACACAAGAAAAACAAAGAAATGTGAGTCGTCGTCTGATACCGTAGTCATAGTAGAAAGGTAGCTCTAACCTGCGCATTTGCCATTTTGATAAAGAAAAACACAGAGAGCTTTTTAGAGAGGGCATTTCAATCTCAGTTAACAGGCTTCAAAACTAAAATATTTAATCTTTAATTACCTTAATTGTTTGATCCAGAGGTACAGATAAGCTGTTTATATTCGTAAATTACGCAAACATTTATGTGAAATCTCAATTCTTTTCAAGTCTATTGCTTACTAGTACGCTTGAATTTTTGTAAATACTAAATACATTTGATCTAACATGCGTACTGTAACATTCAGCAAACCTACCAGAATTTGAAGTAAGCAGACCCATGTGCTACAGATGGAGGTTACTGAGGATAGATAGAATAACTGAGGTATATTGTGAGGTTCTATTTCAGCACATGACCTTGGCAACTGGTAGTCTTTCTTATCTTTGCTCATATGTCAGATCAAGTTGAGGTGAGGTGAAATTGAGTTTAACGTCGTGCTTGGGAATATTTCGCTCATATGACGACATGCATGCGTGTGTATGTGTATGTGCGGCTGCTTGTACTAGCCCAGACTGAAGCTGCTTTAGCCCACTGAGATACCATGCCGCAGTGAAGCATGAATACCCCACTCAGACACATCATACCGACACCGAGCCGACCAGTCCTTGTTGTACCCATTAATGCCGAGCGCCAGGCAGGGACCAACACGTACCATATTTTAACGTCTTTTGGTATGACGCGGCCGGGAATCGATCCCGGGACCTTCCGCTCTAACCACTACACCACGGAGGCAGTAATGTCAGATCAAACATAAATAACACACACGTTTACCAGCATTGAACTTTGTTCTATTTTCTTATTCTATTACTTTATTCTATGGCAAAATACCAAATTGAGTTTGAGTGAGGTGGGTATAATTTATTTGGTTACTCAAAGGAAAATTAGGATACCCAATTGAGATGAACACAAGGGACTAAATAACTCAATGACCCAAAACGTTATCTGTAGCTCTGTAAAATTATCTTTGTTAGACGATGTCACATGTAAAAGAGCCCGACTTATTCATTTATTGTATTTATAAGCTAACAGGAAACTTCATCACAGTTAAGAGGCTCAGAGATTCGCTTTCGCGGCACTTTTAGCACAACTTTGGTTTTCGCTTTACCGGGAATAGGGAATGTTGAAATTTCGCTTTCCCAGGCCGACATCGTCGTTAGAGGCGACTAACGGGATCGGGTGGTCAGGCTCGCTGGCTTGGCTGACACGTGTCATCGGTTCCTAATTCCGAAGATCGATTGCTCGTCAGACAATCATTCATGCGTGGTTAGACAATCCAGGTATACTCAATACCTGAAAACAATTAGACAGCGTATCTTATTGTGAACAATACGCGCACCTGTTTGGCATCAACTTAACGTAAATAAAAATAGTATTTCACAACACCCGAATATTTTGTTTGGGATAAGAATTTTGTTTGTTTATGATTATGTAGCTATTTCTCTTCATACGTATGCAATGAAAGATGCAAAAAGATAGCATTTTATATATGGAACTATATATTAGAATATGGATGTGAGATTTGTCCGAATTAACACATGAGATGGTATATATATTTTTCAACAATTTTCCTATAAATGTTGTTAGAGTTTGATATCCTGTCATCACAATATTATTTAATCGAATATGAATTGATTATATTATCGAAAACAATGATAGAGAATCATAAAACATTTCCAACAAACGCGCACCTGGCCGATCAATATGCTTCATTCTTTTGTCTATAAAACGACACAAATTTATGCAATGAACAAGACAATTCCTTCAAATATGTGTGCATATACATTTCATGCCATATATAAATAATTTTTATTAATATTATCAGTTTGACATATAAGGTTGAATTATATCACCGTTCATTAACCAGCTTAGGGGGTTAAGCGCTCACATCGACAAATGCGCAGCAGAAAAGGAAATAAAATTTAAAATATTCCCTTTCATATAAAATGAATACTGCTGACGCCATGCAGCGTAAAGCTAAAGAAAACTTTTTCATTAAAGAATTGTGTCCATCGTTAAATAGGGAACGCAATGTGTCTGAATTATACTTGTTTTCATTGTGCTACTAGTACTGTCAATTTAAAGCCGCCAATGTGACGTCATGGCAGCGCCGCGTCATAACATTTGTATACAGTTGCATTGTGACGTCATGACAAAGTGACAGAACATAATCCCTTTAACTGTAATCACTTCTCCCTGAAGATAAAAGTGAAAGATGTTGGAGAAGCTCCGTGTCGTGTGATTATTTCAGAAACTTCTTCTTATATATGTACTACTGTACGCTCGGTATTCTCATCACTTTCTCATGTATATTTCATTATCAAAAAATAATACATAAATATATTTTTTCATACAATGGATAGTGTTCTCGGCAGGATATTTTCGGTATGCGTTGGGGTCATATACAGATATAGTTGCAAATTAGAAAGGTCATATGCAAATTTCAGGGACTACTTTGACAGTGTAAACAAACATGGCGTCATGGGTCGGCGGTCGTGTCCGGATTAACGGCCGTGGTTTCGGTACTGTCAGTGCTTTGATCCCGGAAAATTCATGCCTGGTTTTGATAGATGGAGTAGATTACAAAGCGAAGATAGAAATTCATAGGCTTACGAAGATACCAACATCAGTTCCCCGACCGACTGTCAGTGTTAGCGAGAGAACAGTGCACAGTGTCACGCTAACATTAAAGCGTATTTGGTTGTTCAAAAGGTTAATTGAAGGTTTCTGAAGTTCCACGTGAGTTTGTTGTTATTTTTCAAACGTAAGCTAAGATTTGTTGACAACATTTGTTGACGTGCTTTAGCATAAAAGCTTACTGTGAACTACATGACCGCTGATTGATCAGGAGAAAGTTATGTCACCGGGCTTGTGACGTAACGTATTACTCCGCACATATTTGTGACGTCATAGACATTCCACGAAGTTTAGTTTCATGATTTGTGGCATTTGAAATAGCATTTTTTTTAAATTATAAAGCAAAAATGACATTGTATGATAAATAGGTTATCACACTCGTGTGTTTTGGGATGGTTAATATCCTGCATTAGGAATAAACACT